ATAACAAGGTTTTGTGTTGAAAATTGTGAAGACGATTTCAATTAGTTAACTTATTTAAAACATTTTCACACTTTTTAAAATGCCTAAAATTATAAAACTTTAGTTATTGCTGTAGTTTTAATTAGATAGATTTAATAAAACACATTTTTTACTAGTCTGGTGACTTAAAAAATACCACTTTAAAAATTTGTTCACTTAATTTCCCGCTGTTTTATTATAAAGGAAATGCTTAACAGGTACTTTAGCTTCCTCTCTTTCCTTTCGCAATCTTTCGTTTGCGCTTGCTTTTCCTTTGATCTTTTACAGAAGAAAATAAGCTTTTTAAGTAAACTTCGATTTCATTACACCTGAGCACCTCAAATTTGTATGTATTTGTATTGTTATTAAGAAGACATAATTATGGGAAATGTGCACTTCGAATTACTACGAATGAAAACATGACTGTTAGTTTTTGAATATTTGATTGGAAGTAAAATCAATGAGCTAGCTGCCTCGTGAGTATGTCATGGATCTGTGAAAGAAAAGAGAAATAGAAATGAATTATGGACAAAAGCGCTATGAGATGCAGGCTATCCAATTTAGTTTAAAAATAGAACTTAAAAATCTTCATGAGATTATATCAGTAGTTCTCAAACTATGCTAATACAGAACTTGAGAGTTGGGCCAAGTTTTCTAATATCCAAAATTAGATAACCATTGTAATTTCTAAGCTGTCTAAGTAACTAAGTGAAAAGAAGAGACATTTCACGGTTTTACTTTTTTGCAGTATCAATCTGGAGATCTTGTTAGATCTAGATCCTAATGATTATTGGTAAGCCAAATAACACTTATAAGTATTACTAGAACGAAGATTTAGTCATCGTAAGTTAATTTTTTCTGTTCTACGTATGTTATTCATTTAGTAAAGAATAATAAAAAAACGTTTAATTCTCTATGTACTCTATATCTATTGACTATTTTTAAATGCTTTTTCAAATATTATATTTTCTGAAAGTAGAAAATTTAAGACAATATTCATGTGCATTTAAAATAACTGCGAATGCTTGTAACGTAGACATCTAAACTGTATTTAGTCAGAAAGACTAAGCACTTAGCTTCAGAAGGGAAACAGAACTATTTTCCTAAAAGCATAAAACCAAAAATGCTTACAAATGCTAGTCTTTAGGTATAGTTATTCATGTGATAGCCTGCGTGCTTTCGAAAGTGATAGCCAAATCGTCCATTCATAGTAAAAAGCAATTGCACAGTACAGTTAGGTTTTTATTTATGTTCTAGTTTTGAAAGATATAATTGAATTTCTTAACTGCACCAGACGATAAAGTTTATTTTACGACCTTGTAATATTTGCCCTTGATATACGGGCATAAATTCAAAGGACGTTTTGAAGGTTTTGATTAGCATAATGATATTTAAGTGCTTGAAGTTGAGTACTAGTTTATTCAAAGTTGCCAAGTTCGTCTTATTCACATAAATTTGAGAACTACTGCAGTTCATATTCAAGAACTATTTTAATTTTATTCAGAGAGATTATGCTATACTTTACATTTAGTTTAATAATATTTAAAGATTTTAATGATTGCAAATGGGTAATTATGACAACAGTTTGAAGAGATAGATCTCCTTAATTATTTTTCCCAATGCTTCATCTATTACTATACTCATTTTAATGATTAAGATTCAAGGAAAATGAATTTACAGTTTTTTGGAACTTTGTAGTAGTCTTTCTGTTGTGAAATTTCTGTTGTGAAATTTCCGTCTTATTCACATAAATTTGAGAACTACTGCAGTTCATATTCAAGAACTATTTTAATTTTATTCAGAGAGATTATGCTATACTTTACATTTAGTTTAATAATATTTAAAGATTTTAATGATTGCAAATGGGTAATTATGACAACAGTTTGAAGAGATAGATCTCCTTAATTATTTTTCCCAATGCTTCATCTATTACTATACTCATTTTAATGATTAAGATTCAAGGAAAATGAATTTACAGTTTTTTGGAACTTTGTAGTAGTCTTTCTGTTGTGAAATTTTCGTGATTAAAATGTGCTTTATTATTACAACTATGACGGCAATTCTTTTTATCTTTGAGTAAGTGACACGACATTTTTTTATATCACTGCTCACTGGACAAGGGAACGCGTCTTAGTCGAAGATTTTTCCACTTTTTACGGTTTCATTTTGCATTCGAAGAATAGATGATGTTCTGACTATGCTAAGTTTCCTATTTCTAGTTGATGGAAACATTTGCTAGTCCGACAAGAATGTTGATTCAATTGAGAACAGCGAATACTAAAGTATTTAAATTTTCGATTAGAAAATATGGCATCTAAACCTAAAATCTATTCTATTTTTATACTTATTTTTCTTGGATATCGCTGATGCGATAACATAACTTGCAGTAAAGGAACTATTAGTTTAGTCTTGGCTTCGGATAGTCGTACATTCAGGTACGACATGCATAGCAATATTTGCACCACATTACCTAAGTGTTAGCTTTTTTGCTTCTTATTCTTATAGCCTTTTTGAAGGAACATCAAATATGTATTATTAGACAAATATTTTGTAGGATTTAAGTCAAATATATGTTTCAATAATAAAAGGAAAATTCAAAGCAATCAAGTTTCATGTATAAGCATTAAATTGTGCTTGAATAATAAGGATTTTAAAGTTATGAGTCTTTTAAATTTTGAATGAACTGCATGACAGTGGTTTTGAGTCTTACATACATATATATATATATATATATATATGTATTTTTGTATAAAATTGCTTTAATAAAAAGGATGAATATTCTCTAAACAAAAGTTTACAAATATATAAGTTAGAAATACTTAAATGGCAACTGGGTTTAATACCAAGACGGAAGCACTAAGCTTAGATTTTCTAGCTATATATCTTTCAAATTATGGATATATAGCCAAGCTACTAATAAAGAAATAGCTCGAAGAGATATTGATTCAAAAACTGAGAATGATGTTGTTGAACACATTAAATTATTTGAAAAGGATATCAAACTAAATTCTACCAAATAAAGTGCGAAATGAAGGTTACTATATTGAAAAATTCTAGGTTAAATTTTAAGCAATCTCAAGATAAAATTTTAATTTTCTCTTTTAAATATATCTTATGATTTTTTTATCTAATAACCTTTCCAATTACTTATAATTTGGTAGTGTGTGCAATCACGTTATTCATACGTATGCATTTAAGCAGAAGTTAATTTATGAGGAAGTTTGAGAACTGGAGAATTACATTTCTTTCAAATGCAATTCAAAACTATCGCGTAAGCACCTTATTATTAACGTGAATTCAGTTTTTTTCAATCAATTCAAAAGCATTTATGATAAATTTTTCCTACGTGCTATTCAGAATTAGAGGAAAAGAAATTTTCTATATGAACCGGATTAGATTAGTGGGTACTTTTCCGTTTTGCCAGCGCAGGCGATAAAGTCGCCAATGGTGATACAACTGATTCCAAACGGAATAGCCTCGCTTGTAGCCTTTTACGCATCATTTTCAAAACAAGTCGCAGCCATTTCTTATCAGATTGATTGTTTCTTTGAATACTGGCATACAATTAGATATAATTCTTACCAGATAGTTCAACTTTATGCCCTAGGGCCATTTGCGATAATTAAGTCAATTAGGATGCAATCACACCGCTCACCCGGAAGGCGAAACATAATTTTACATAATTTATGAGTCAAGCTATTCTTACGAATTAAAAGTAATAATTCTTGCATTTAAACTTACATTCCAAATTCAAGATTTAACTTGATATTAATGTAGATAAGTACTGAGAGAATTAGATTTTTGTAGCGTAGTTTACAAAAATTAGATTTTGTAGCGTAGTATGAGATCGCTTGGAGATGGGCTTACATGAATGAACCGGCGAATCAGGATGTTGAACCGTGAAAGCGTAAGTAAATTTCTTAAATTAATATCTTTTTACAAATTTATTGTCTTTATTTATTGGCTTTTTACAAAATTTTAAGCGATATTAAAATGTTTATGCCTTCAAAATAAAAAAAAAAAAAAATTCGTAGAACCAATATTTGTTAACATTTTTTATGTGTATACTGTATATTGTCTCCAATAAAATTTGCTTGGCGAGATTTGCGCCGGCAAAACGGAAAAATACTGATTAGTGTTTTACTGCATGATATCAGATTTCAAGAACTAACTAAATAAATTTTATTCTGAATAGTCATGCAATATTGAGAATAATCTTTTGGAAATATGGTTGATGCTGTGATGATGTAGGAAACGGATTAATCGGAAAATGTCTTAAAGAACATTTGAAAATCATAGGAAATACATCATAATTTTCATTCAAGTTGGGAAAAGCATGCATCCATTTCAAGTCGAAAAGAGCACAGAAATAAGTTGCTGGTGAAATTCATTATTTTATATTTTTCAAAAATATAGAACTATATAGAAATAAAAAAGAAAGAATTTTTTTCTAATCAAAAGCAACTATTTCTCTGGTCGCGTTATGTTAGAAAATCCTAAATGTTATTTTTTTCTTAAAAACTACATTGAGGAATCTGTTTAAAATCTTAATCTGGGAAGGAAAAATGAATAACTATTTTAGTTGAGAAAAGCAATCATTGTCTTAATTTATGATCGCCTCAAAATCAAACTGAATACGGTTTAATACTTATACATATGAAAATGAAATAAAAGCTTGATTGCTTATTATTTCTTTCTTGTTAAACTCTATTAAACGTATTATGTGCTTTTACTGCACAACTACCCGAAGCCTGGTTATAATATCTAATTATGAAGAAATATGGAGGTAAGTCTTTTTAATTGTAAACGTAAGTTATACATTTAACCAACTGCCCATTCTTTACTTTAAGTATCATTTACATCCTAAGATGATTCATGATTTGTGATAGCAATACGAGGATAAGATGTGCTTTTTTGTGTTAAGAAATACTTCATATTATCTATTACTTTTGCTTCTGAATTATAAAATGAGAGAAAGGGACCAAAGAGTGAAACTGGCTTTAATTGAAGCTTTAATATGATGCGTTATTATAGAAATTATACGAAATAAAGAATACCTTACGACCAACAAACGCGAGTATATACTAAATTCTCTTTTCATATAAACATTTTTCACATATTACAACAATTACAAACATATTACTTTTAAACACAACACATTTCCTAAACTTTTTAGCAGTTATTTAACAACGCATCTAAATCAAGAAACTTATAAAAAATAAATTTCTATCCCATGTGCTTAATGTTAATTTGAAAAAGTTCGATTCAGTATCTTTGAGCTGTTACTTCTAACTACAACCATATTCAGTGGATTTAAGAAGAATTAGGTACACATCTAAGTGCTACCAGTTTTCAGTTTAATTTTTATCTAGACACAGAACATCAGGATCAGTAAGAAAACAAAATTACAAACTTTGAAACATAAAAGGCTACAGGAAGAATAAAAGAGCCTTTCATTCTAAGACCAGTAATGTAATGAAATAATATAACAAAAATATATTGCTCTAAATATCACACATTATTAAATGTCAGTGTTGTCCAACTAGCTGTTAGCGAGCCACGCATGCTTCGTCATAAATTTATTAGTAATTGAAATTAATTTTAAAGAAAATTTAAGGAGCGATTAAATTTAAAATTAACTTGTCTAGTTTCAGTTAAGCAAATTTCACATTTTCAAGACTAGAACACAGTAACACTTTTGGCTAAAGTTTTTGCAGGTTTCATTGTTAGGGAAAGCTGGTTTATTTTGTTGAATGATCTGAATATCAAACGGGGCCTGCCAACAGGTTTATTTGCAGAACACTGTTACACACAAACATCATTACAAAATGATTATAATTATGAATACAGTTCACAGCACAGATCCTATAGAGTTCAACTCGGAACTGGTTGTGTAAACTTTAGCAGAGACATAAACTTGTACAACAACTTACCGAAAGAAGTTGTCATCCCAATTATTGTTCATTAGCTGTGTATTTGCAGCAAATGTTTTTTTTTCTTTTTCCCTATGGTTGGAGAGATTTCAAATATAGTCAACAGGGATTATAAGTTGCTTGATTTTAGTAACCTTGCGTCTGAGTTGTTTGGCAGGTATATGTCGTTTTGAATCAACGAGATTTGGCATAAGTCTGAAATACAACCTTTGACATGGCTATCGGTGCTTATACTTTGAGAGTGCTCAGCAGTCGACACTCAGGTCTCCTCTTCTACGTGAAGAACTGCGTACAAATTAATTGGCTGTTTGCTTTCCGTGATAATTCGAATTTGTACTCTGTTAAAACAACGCAGACAAGTGGCTCGTTGAAAAGTATCTCATCACCACTTCTAAATAAAGTACTATTTTTATATTGTTCAAAGAGTATGTTATAAAAATAAGTATTAATTTTTCCCTTTTCAACATTCGGCAAGAGTTTTGGTCTCCTGCACTCCACCTTTGCTGTTACGAACATATCATTTTGAGCACTTTACTTATAACACCAAGCGTGGCAGAGCACATGGATGTCGAGTAAAACGGCGTTTTTTACGAATTTTACATTCAACATTTCTTCAAACATTATCAGCTAAATAAATCCACATATACTGAATGTGCATGCACAGGTGCACACATGTATACATACACCTAAGAACAGAGAAATATGCATATATATATACACATACATACATACATATATGCACATATATACACATATGAATGTCTGCATGCGTGTATGCATAAATGCGTGTGAATACGTAAGTGTTAAACACTCATGAGTTTATTAATACTCCACGTATGCACAGAAGAGAAGCAAAATAAACAACAAGTCACCTTCTGCGACAACATAGTTTAATCTTGCATCTACTGTTCAACTTACTTCCAAAATACATATTATATTCACAGCATATGCACTGCAGAAGAATTTCTGAATATTACTAGTGTTACTGACGACATTTCTCTATTCTACTAAGTAATAAGCTTAATTTACTTAATTTTGTTTGGATGCAAATATATATACATACATATGCTTACGTATGCATGTATGTGCATATATATATATATCTTTGTAGACGCTTAGTGTCAGCTAAAAGTGAAACAAAATGCTAGCTGATTTTAAACACTGATATAGAAATTCCAGAATTCGAATTTAGTACCTATCCCTAGAAAACTATTTTTCCAACCAGGAGTTCTGAATATTGTTCTATTTTTAATATATATTCAGTAATAGTTCTAGATTGGCACTGAAGATATTACAAAAATATCTGTTGATTTGCAAGTTACTTATGAGTTGGAATATTAATTAATGAAAATTTATCTAGTTTTCAAAAACAACAACAACAACAACAACAACGGGCAATTTGATCGACATTTAACAACACAGACCTTTCGTAATTGGCTGATAGAGTACTCATGTTGAAATGGGAAACAGAAACGGTTCAAGAAAAACATCTCAAACTAGTAATCTGTCGAGATCAAGTGCTTCCTAGATACGGCAAAACGTATCAATTTTGAGACGGCTACTCATCTTGCTTTCCTGATATGAGTGACTTGTAGAAAAGAAAAAAAAAATCAGACTAAATTGCTACTACAATAGATAACATATGCCAATACGTGGCTGATTCATATAAAAAGTGCTTGCGGTTACTTGTTTTTTTTTTCTTTTTTTTTCTTTTATTATACGTGAGGGTTTGACCGATTACACCTCACCCGTAGCAGTTATCGTCTCGAATATATGAGAATTATCATCGTTAAAATACTAGGACAAATATCTACACTTAAAAAAAAGGATTTGTCAATGGAGGTCTTTTCTACAGTAAAGACAATCTTCCTTTTGCAGTATTCTTTCACAGAAAGAGCTTAAAATCGAACACTGCTTCCATTTTTACAAAAATACATCTATAGAAACGGATCATTCAATGAAAGAAAAGAATTTGCATTTAACGAGTATGTTCTTTGTTACACTGTCCTTTACAGTTCAAGCACTTGAATTCATTCTATGGCCGGTTCATTTCAGCTTTTTATTTTCATCTTGCATGAATGAAAAGCGTATTGCAGAAAATAATAAATTTTAAACATTATTTTTATAATAAATACATGAATGGTAGTTTCATTTATGTCGGGGATTTTCTTATGAATGCAAAGGATCTTAAGAGTGTATATTTTTAGTAAGTAGGAGTCAGAACTGTAATATTTATTTTTAACATTGCAATGTAGGGACTCTTAGATTTTTAATTATTTAAACATTAAAAAAAGTGAAATAGGAAATTTACGGCATGTTTCTAGTTGCATGTAAATTATATCAATGAATTCGCAAAAGTTGAAATTCAGTATTTCTTTCTGCCTAGTGAGTTTACTAATAATTATTCTACTTTCAATTAATTTTTCAGTCTTATGAGTTTTGTTTCACATTTTTTTCTTTGACTCCTTAACAACATACGAAAGAAAAATTTAATTTTTACACAAATTGAAAATAATTCTTAAACAGAGGTTTTTCTAATCTAATATTCACTAAAGAAACAACTTGCAGTCACATGATTTTTATCCAGCAATGAATACTGATAAGAATTTGACTATTTAACCAATAAGTTTATCTTTTAGGAGCAGAAATATATGATTTTTTAATTGTAGCAACATTTGCTTTAGAAGATATTTGCCAAATATTCTCCTTTTTGAGCTGTAAAATATAACAAAACACAATATAAACTATGATTTTATCATTGAGTGGAACCAAACGCTGATTTTGATTTGATAGAGCATAATGAGGATTTAAAAGAATGTATATATGAAGCCTTTTCTCAGCTTCTTACCGGATTGGAACCTAATTAGTGTGGTTTTCATTATGTATTGTTTTCGCATTACCAGACCAGATATAGTGCTTGATTTACGGTTAACTAACAGTGGATTACTTCTTTACCACTTCCTTATTTCAACTAAGACAACCAGGAGGAATCTGTCAGTAGGCTGAGGTCTTGACCACTGTTCGATGATGTGTGAAGAAAGAAGGAAAGAAAAGAAAATCTAGTTGCCTTTTTGAGGTCGTAGCAACCTGGTCCTCAACAGAATGTTTCATTAACTGCATTAGCTTTGAATATTCCTTTTTTGGGTAATTCATGGAAGCCACAACCTTGATATTCACAGCTGAATTTCTTGACGAAGAGACAAATCTTTACAGATGCTTCAAGATAGAACTTCACAAAATGTGAATTTTACAAAAGCGAAAACCGACATATCCGCGGAAGTTTAAAAATTTAGCTAATGTACTTAGAAATTAAAGCATTTTCTCCCCTTTTGTTTTTGAATGCGTTTGCAAAAACAAGCTGCTTTCTCCAAAAGTTCACGCATAGAGAAAAAAAATTAAAAATCCGTTTTCGCATTCTTTTTCTTTTCCATGTGTCGCGCTGGTGTAATTGTTCTTGTTAGAGCAACTTTTACGAAAATGGTTTAGGCACTCGTGCATGAGGACCAGGGATCCGACGTGACAGCTAAGTTCTTCATAAAACGATCAGCCTGTATGAAGCGAATAAAGTAAAGGGACTTGTCTTTCACTGAGCTATGATGCTATTCTCTTCATTGATGCTCGCCATCCAAAGCCTCCAGATACTTTCCATCGACAAGGCACGGAACTACCTTGTGCCTAAAATAAAAAAATGGGTTAATTTATGCTGAGAAACTTTCAGTAAGGAAAAGCATAACTATACGTATAACATTGCAAACTAAGAAAATTGAGAAAACTGTCGAAATATTTTTCAAGGAAGAACTTGACAATTTTAAAATTTTATTTTGATATAATTATCGCGCATTCGCGACTGTCAAAGACACATTAGAGAAACAAATTTATTTATCTTTAATAATTTTAAGAGAGGCCAGGAAATAATCTCTCAGGGGCGTGTCACGACACACATTTCGCAGTAATTTCTCCTATTTCATTTTTCAGAAGCTTTATTCAAAGAACCAAACTTCTAATATAGAAGTAAAAGTGTTATGTTTGTGAGGAAAAGCTGACAAGGAATTTTTATAAACTGGTTTAAAAGCAATTCTAAAATTTAGAAGGAAAATTCATATCAATTCACAGGAAGAAATTCTCTAGAAAAAGAATTGAGATAACACACAGCATAATTATACTTCCATCAGTTTTAATTTCCTTTCTTGTTTTCTTTATAAATTTCAACAATCTTGAATTTGTGTGGTCTGAAAAAATATTGCACAGTAAGACACAGTTGCCCCAAAATGCATAATTTTTATACAATAGCATTCGTTAGTGTTAATTTTCCTAGGATGCCCAGTTTTTCTCCAAGCTCGTTTTTCTAGTTATAATTCTAAAATTGATTATTCTGAATCTGCGGATTCGATATAATGTTCCTTTTTGTAAGTTTTCTTCTTATTTTTAATATTAATAGCTTCAGCCAGTTTTACAGTAATTTTTCTAAAAGTGTACTTAATTCTATTCCTCTTATTTAATTTTAAAATGTTTCGTCCACATTTACATTGCGAGACTAAAATGGAATGCCGATTCATTGAGAAGATAATGAAATACTACCAAACGATTTTATTGTAAATAAAAGTGGAACATGCTTATGGTACTTTTTGAAATTTTGTGTGTGTTAAAGCTTTCCATCTTGGCTTGAAATATCCATGTGAAGCCTCATTGTCAGTTTTTTTTGGTGTAACGAATTTAAGAAAGTAGTTTTCGTCTTCAAATTTTTGTTTTCATTTCGTAAATTTAAAATTTACGAATATTTTGTGCTTATTATAGTTTTTCAATATGTATGGTTAAAACGGCTGATTAAAGCATTCATTAAATATATTGAAATTCTGTTTTTTAATATGATACCAGCTTCCATGCTTTGTGATTTCCTTGCTTTCAAACAAAAACGTTTTTAAATAAAATTTTTAAACTTAATAATAAACTGTATAAAAAATATCATTAGAAAAGTAAGGGAAAACGAGTCTTTTAAAATAGGATTGAATTTTTTAGACTAAACATGAACATTGTGTTGTAAACAAAGTTGATGATAAAATGTTTGGAACGAAGCTGCCTGAAACGTTTTTAAAACATAAGATATCGTCTCGTACCAAACACATAAAGCTTCTTTCTAATTTTTGACTGATGAAGTTCCGTTACTTTTAAATTTCCTTTTATCTTTATACAGTACCTGAAAGGAAGCAGTAGAAAAATGATGACGGGGAAGACCATCTTGACGTAAGACCATGGGGAGAAGCCAAAGAAGCACATAATAGCCAACTGAAATACTTGGCACATGGTGAAGATGTGAATCTTTCGTTGCGGGCATCGTCGTATGTAGTGATTCGGAGGGTAGGCAGTCTAGAAAGCGTAAAGAAATCAAGTTTTAAACAATATTCTACGCTATATAAATTACGAGCTAACACAATTTATTCAGTAAAAAAATTAAGTAACTCTCTAGCAAAGTTTCATACCCAAAGAAAAATGCCAAATTTTTAAATACGAATACATTTATTACAGAATAGTGACTTCAGTTGCAGTACAAGCTATGTTCAAAGAATCTCAGTCAATTATACGTAATTGAGATTTTATTCCCCAGAGAATTTATATGAAATACACTTTAATTTATGTTTGTAGTTCAGACTACCTAATATACACACAATGCTCATACTTCCTCTTCGGCACTGAGAGCTTTGTATACACTGTGTAATGCTCGTTCATCAGTGCCCTGTAAATAGTATTTCCACCCTTTTAGAACTACTATCAATTAATTGCAATAATTGCCATCATATCAATTGCAATCATTTGCAGCGCAGTCAAAGAACCTTCGCAAAATTAACGCATCAGTAAAAAACCAGCTCATTGACTGTGTTCGGAAAAAAATACATATTGGTATAACTGCTGAGAGTTTCTTTCGCTGCAATAACAACGTAGAGAAAACTATAGCTCAAAATAGTGTAAAAGTTTTGTTATTCGAAGTCTAGTCTCACCTTGACCACTTTAATGTCTCAACAACGTCAGCGAAACATGTTTCATCATCTGACACCATGTGAAAGAGGATTCATTAGGGCGCTTTCCAGAGTAATTAGTCGCAATATTCAATAGGCACTGAAGTGACTCATGACATTAGTTTAGTTTCTCAGTATGTGCGTCTGTGTCGTGATGAACATGAAGAATATCCTAGTGCACATCTAAATTGTTCACGACTAATTAATGTCAGGAAAAATAGCCAGAATACATATAGAAAAGTTGCCAGCTTTTATGCTACCTTTTCGGAGGTTTTTGAAAGACATGTTAAATTCTTCACACAAATCTATGTCTAATGGCATTCTGCTTCGTCGTATTTATGTTGGTGGACTTCATACTAGAAGGTCAAGCATTGCGTATGGCTCAGTCCACATGTATACCTGAACCAGTTCCGACAGTGCCATGCCAAATACGTTTGGGAAATCGAACACATATGTGTAGTCTTTAGTAATGAGTCCTGTTTCCACCTTGGTACAGATGATGTAAGCGATGGCAAAGTATGCATGTAGTTAGTTACTTAAGGATGAAGAGCTCCAAGATGCACTTCTGGCTCAAAGCAACTTACGGTTTTCATCTGGAATTATATGAAGGTAGCGTACTTGGTGATTCTTGGACTCCTCCAGTGTTTGTAGCATGCAATTTAACTAGCCAACGGTATTCAGATGATTTTTTATCCCATTTTAATCCTCTCCATGGGTTCAAGGTGGAGTGTTCCTTGAGGACAACGTGTAAGTACACAACAGTCATGTGGTTGTGCCTGCTATGCAGATTGCGGATGTCTTAATTGGCCGTTCAAATTACCCAGTTTATCTCAAGTTCAGCATGTGTGAACCCACACGAAAGACAGAAAAGCCGCCTTCTACAGTCGTCAAGAGTTGCTGTCACCTTTCACCAACGGACTGAAGAAACGCGGTGAGCTCGCACTAGAGTATGCCATCCTCACAACGTATGACAGTATGCAGCGTTGAGGTGACTAGCTATTATAACATACTTGGGAATAACCCAGAGTATTAACATTTGCACCCTAGGGGCCATATAAACTATAACTTGTATTGCAGGGGCATACAAATACAACTAATTCTACTGGTGATATGCTTATTACTTTTCTATGCGTATCAAGTAATTTGTGTGATTCTTTCTGGTGGTTGCATTAATTTTGAAAGTGTGTTTATTTATCAGATGTTAATATATTTATGAATAGCAACAACATATAAAAGAGAAAAGAGTTATCAAATTTTTTTATGAAATATATCGAATACGGTTTGTTTCCGCAAGAAGAAACTTGTGCAAATTTCGACTAACAAAATGTCTTTAGTTTTCCAGTTAGTTCAATAATGGCTGAGTTTCATAACGACATATAATATACTAACAAAATGCTTGTAAGATAAATAAACATGCATCAGTCGTTTTACTTGTATTAACATACACACGAGTTTTGTTTTCTAAATGGTCCTTATTTAATTAAAAAATTTCTATTTATGAAATTATATATGCGCTATTTCTCAGAATATCAAAAATTACAGAGTAAACATTATGTTTAAAAAAGTAATTTATTATACTTTAAACATATGGAAATTTAATGAAGATGAAAAATATATCAGGAATAATATATCTCTTTTAACCTATGTATAAATGAACTTCACTAAAATTGTATTAAGTAAACGTATTTTGAGAGTAGCAGTAGTAAACAATACTTGTTCCATGAAGAGCAGTGTGATCCTTTCAAACATTTGATTCCCATTGAGCGATGTGATGGCCATATACAAGAAAAGTCCATCAAGCACGGCAGTTGGAATGTAAGCCATGGGGTAGGGGAGCAAGAAGATCGATAAACCGATGAGGATGTGGGAGATGATACCCGTTACACGCGTTTCTCTCACCTTTACTATTCTAAAAACATTTAAAAAGAAGAATGCAAGAATTAATTTGTGTAACAAGTTATGTAAGTATTAAAGACACATTAACAAAGGTCTACGTTTTAAAAAGAAAATACATAGGATTATTACTGAAAAGTCTCCGAGAAAAGTTTTTCAGAAATTGTAATAGAGCAGAGCCGTATGAGATTTTTTAATTCTACGGCTGTTACCTGTCTACCTGTCCAGAAAATAATTCAAATTTACTCATCATATAAATAATAAAACACTCTTACGTTGCATATTATTTTTCAAGCAACTTCTGCAGCAAACGGTTAGAAAGAAAATAAGTGGATTTATAGTTATAAGTGAGTACTACGAAATTACTTTAAAATAATTTGAAAATGTTAAGAAGTAGAAATACAATAGCAATTATTTGCAACAAAGTTATGAAGAATAGATTTATCAAATTGATTTAACTTTTGATATAGAAGTATTATTATTTTCACTTACATCTTCATAAAGAAATTTGACTCATAAAAGAATTTGATTTAGAAAGTTATTGTTACTGAAGAAAATCGTTCGTTTGTTACTTTGATGGCTTATGATTTCTTTCTACCTTTTAATATTACATAACTGTAATATACTGATATCTGTAACAGCCTCACAAGTTCATAAAATTTTGTTAAATAATTAAAGACTGCCGACAGCTGACCTGAAAAATATGAAGATTTCTACTTATTCGAGATCAATTTGAAGCATTCATTTTCCGGTTTATGTTGAAAATTCTTTTAATATATAAAAAATTATATTTAGAAGACAGCAGTTTTTATTTTCGTGCTAGTAACATAATGCTGCAAAAAGGCTTGCAGAGAAAATTAAAATTTTTATAAAAGTTTATTTTTATTAATGTCGAATTTCTTCCCAATGAGATTTTGTAAAGAGTTAATGCGAAATTCAAGCGCCGTATTAAGGATCTTTTATATAAGAATCTGACTAATAATAAGTTTGTAGGGTTTATATTTATTTTAACTAACATTTATTTTAAGCTATCTTTCCTGTCAAGCCTTTACTTTTCCCTAGAATTGCCAATGCCAGAGTATGTAAATTGTAGTAGAACGCGCAATATATTCAAATTTTAGCAGAAGTAAGTTGAGTTTAAATAGAAGGGAAACGAGATTGTATGTGTGCTTCTTGAATCGCGAGCGTGAAGGTTGCTAGGTAGAAATTTAAGAACCGCGCGTTTCGGCCTGTGTGCCTATTTCGGCAGTTCGTTGAATCTTTCAACTTCTTAATCAGTAAGCTTGCTGAATCTCAGCTGTATTTTTAGAACGCGGTTAAGTTAGTTACGATTTCAGAGCCTCGTAGGTAGTGATCTAGTTATTTATTCATCCTGTCATTTATTTTTAGTTTCACATTTCTGTTTTGTTAAACCGCCGGGTCGGCGTAGTTTGTGAACGTGAAGTGAATGCAGCTGTTATTTCTAAAGTGGAATAAAAAGGGCTTAAAAACCCTTCTTACGAGTTTGTGTAATTTACAGTTCATAGCAGTCACTACCACAGTTGCTGACAAGTTGGGGCCACGCAACACGACATTGGCGCCCGAACATCTTACGAACGTAGATGGCCGATAACTGGATGGAAGCTCCTGTACAACTCCAACAGCAAGAAATGGCGAACCAGTTAGAAGGATTTGGATACCTGGTCCAAACGATGAGAGCATCTATCAAGCCAAACGTCAATTTCGACGGAAAAAATTCGGTGGCGATATTTTTAGAAGGCCTCGAAAATCCTTTCCAGTTATACCCTGTGCCTGAAAGACAAAAAGTTGCCATTGCCACGTCTGCACTAAGAGGACAGGCCTCACTATGGTGGAAGAGTATAGGGAAATTTTTATTAGGAGAATTCGGAGGCCAAACATATACCTTTGAAAATTTTAAAATATCATTATTAAAGGCCTTCCCCATAGTGAAAGACCGAGCAAAGCTAGAAGCCGAAACTGTATAGTTTTTATCAACGTAATATGGAAGATTTGACGGACTTTATCTGCTTAAGCTGAACGGACATGCTGTATGGAAAGAAACCCGACACGGAGATAATTGAAATAATCTTACCAAGATTGCTACCTGCTGTCCAAGATTACTTAGAAATCCGAAATCCAAGCACCTTGCAGGAACTCTTCGAGTTGGCGGTCAAGTTCCAAAACCGAAGAATAGCGGAAAAATCTAGAGGGGCATCGTATTCTCAAAGTCTCCGAAGGCAATTCTCAAATCAACAGACCGGAAACACAAATCGCTCTTATGGGGGAAAGAGCTATCAAGCCAACTCATCGAAGCTCGAAGGTCAAGGCCGCAAAAAGGAAATTTGAAAAAAACCGTCCGCGTACCCAAAAGACTGAAGTTGAAAGGAAAGCTTTAAACGAGTAGAGGGGCCTGTAAAAGCGAGGGTCCAGACCCCGGAAGTTTCGAAAAAACCCTCAAGAAGATACTTAAACACGGTCGTGGTAAAGAATTCCCAATTACCAATTATACAAGTCCTGGTTGGCGATGTACCAGTGGAAGCCCTCATTGATACAGGGGCAGAAGGTAATTTTATGAGTGATAAATTTTTCAAGAAGAATTTTAATAGGTTACGGTTATTTAAAAATAAAAACACAGAAATTATAGCGGCCCAAGGAAAAACCTGTCAATGTATCGGGAAATTATCATTAAAAATACAGATAAAAGATGAGAGCCTTAAAGTATTAATTTTTGTGGTGAAAAATTTGCAGAGTCCAGTCATCTTAGGCATGGAGTTTTTAAAGGCCGCGAAAGGCCAAAGCTAAATTTTCAGGAAATTCGATTATGCTGGAAATGGATCGGAGGGTGGTGGAGCCAGTGAAACAACCGCAGGTAGACCTTAGCCATTTGAGTGTCCATGAAAGCCAAGCCATCCAGCAAGTGGTGAGTACTTTTTCAAACTTGTTTTCAGAACGGCCTGGTAACTGTCAAATTGTAACACATGATATACAACTAACTGCCGATAAACCCTGTAGGACTAAACCCTACCGGTATGATAAACAGAAAGAGCAAATTATTGAGGAACACATTCAGGAAATGCTGCAGAACCAGATAATAACGCCCATAAATAGTGAGTACGCGAGTCCAGTCGTACTATGTAGGAAAAAGAACGATTTCCCTCCTTCGGATAAAAGGGCTTGGAGGTTTGCTATCGATTACAGAAAGTAAAGTTCCCGGTTTACCCTTTGCCGGTAATAGAGGAAATTATTAGAAAGATTAAGTCTACGAGATACATGACTACGTTGGACTTAACGTCTGGCTACTATCAAATAGCTATGAGACCTGAAGATAGACATAAAACCGCATTTATCACAAAATCGGGCACTTATGCATTTTGACGCATGCCCTTCGGGTTGTGTGGGGCCCCGTCAAAATTCCAGAGAGCTATGGACATTGTTCTAAAGCCTGTCCTAGGAAAATCGACTTTAATCTAGATGATCTAGATGATCTAGATGATTATCTAGATGATATAATTATAACGAGTAGTACGTTGGAACAACACATTAAAGACTTGGAAGACGTTTTTAAATTATTAAAAGAGGCCGGTCTTACAATTAATGCCTTAAAATGCAAGTTCGCGACTGAAGAACTTAAATACCTGGGTTATAAATTTCGCAAAAGGGTATAGAAACTCAGGATTCAAAAATAAAAGCCATCAAGGATTTCCCACCTCCCAATACCGCTAAGAAATTTTCTTCTTTCCTTGGGTTATGTTCTTATTAACGGTCGTTCATAAAAGATTTTGCGAATATTGTTGAACCGTTGTTAGTAATTAAAAGAAAAAAAGTAAGTAAGTTTACGTGGACAGCAGAAGCAAATACAGCATTTGAAAGGTTAAAAGAAGCACTCATCAATGCCCCTGTTTTGAAATTTCCCGGAAGGGGACGAAAACCTGGAAATTGCAGCAGATGCGTCGGACTATGCCGTAGGTGCGGTTCTCATGCAGAATGGCCATCCTTTGGCATTTTTTAGTAAAACTTTAAATTCTACGCAAAGGAATTATACAGCTACAGAGAGAGAAACATTAGCCGTATTAATGGCTGTACACAGAAATTTCGAGTTTATTTCGGCAAAGCGCCAGTAACAGTCTTTTCGGATCATGCGGCTGTTGGTAGACTTTACTCGGGGAAAAACCTAACGCCCAGGTTAATAAGATGGGCTTTAAAACTTCAAGAATATAATCTAATAATTAAATATAAACCAGGGAAAGAAAATAATGTAGCTGACGCACTATCCCGAATAAAACTGGACGATGAAGGGAATGAACTCAAATGCGCTGTGTTGACTTCTAAAATTTTAGATTCTACAGAAACAATTATTGCTGAATTGAAAGCTGATCCTGAATTTGGAAGTATTTATGCTTATTTAAAAGACCCTGAAATCTTTGAACATACAGATGTCGCCGCAATAAGAAGTACTGCAGAAAACTATGAAATAATAGATAATTTATATTTTTATACGAAATTAACAAACGAAAATTTTGAGTACAGACCAGTCATCCCAGCCTCTCTTCGATTGAGCATTTTGCGGAATTACACGACGCGCCAACATCGGGTCATTTAGGAGTCAGAAAGACTATAAAAAGGGTACGCGAGGCGGTATATTTCCCGCAATTATACAAAATAGTAACTGCGTATGTCAGGTCCTGCAATCAATGTCAGTTAATAAATGATATTAATTACAGCCCGGCCGGGTACTTAAATAGCATTCGCGCTACATTTCCGAATGAAATTTTAGGCATAGATCTTCTTGGTCCTTTCTCAGAGTGAGTTAAATAAAAATCGTTTTCTTTTAGTAATTGTAGATCATTTTTCAAAGTGGACAGAAATTGTTGCACTTAAAAACGCGCGTCAGCCAAAACAGTTTGCAGATGCATTCTTACACAGGTACATTTTAAAATACGGTGCACCGATAAAAGTCATTAGCGATAACGGTAAACAATTCGTTAGCCAAATTTTTGAAAACATTTGCTCTGGACTTGGCATACGCCATATCAAAATGGTTCCGTATAGACCACAGGCAAACATCGCAGAAAGAGTTAATAAAAATATTGTAAAAATAATTCGAAGCTATGTTAGCACACATCACAAGAGCTGGGATGGCTACATAAATGAGTTAGCTTATGCTTTAAGAACAGCAAATCATGATACTACTGGAAAAACTCCAGCAGAATTATTTTTAGGACGTAAGTTAATTACGCCACTAGATAAATTATTCTTTGTGCAACAAAGGGAAGAAGAATTTAAACAAAAAGATATACAGAAACTTATTGATCAGGCGGTTAAAAGTTCGGATACGGCAAGAAATAGACAGAAACTTTACTATGATCGAAAACGCCGTGAAGCAGATTTTAGAGTAGGTGATAAAGTGTTAAAGCGGAAATTTTCTTTATCAAGTGCCCCACATAATTTCACTGCAAAATTGGCTCCAAAATTTGAAGGCCCCTATGTAATACAGGAAATCAAGGGAGTCGTATTGTACCTTAAGAACGAGAGAGGGGAAGCCTGTAAAGCAAGTCCCGACCAGGTGAAAAAATATTATAATCAAAATGATTTTGAAATCCTTAAAAGTTTCTTGCAGAACTCAAGCGCAAAAGAAGTGGAAATTCCAGAATTTACGCCACCCGCTCCACCACCCAAGAAGCAGAGAACAGAAGAGGAACCTAGCCCTTCTACAAGTCATTCTAGGGTCCTCGAAAAGAAGGAAGGAAAATGGTCACACTCCAGCATTCAAGAAGTGCAGGAAATCAACGCCGCCTCGTAAAGAATCTTTGGTAAACAGGAAAAGACCAGTTTACAACTTCCCACAGTAGAAAATCTGCGTCGAGGAAACCACTTCCAGGGCCAGATAGTCAGGAGCAAACAAGGCCGCCGTTTACGAGAAGAAAAAGACAGCAAGAAAAGAAAGAAAGAAAAAAAAAAAGATTGGCACCAGCAGAAAAAATTCAAGCAAGAATCCAGACCGGAGGCCGCCAAGACCAGCCGTCCAGGGGCCAAACGGAAAAGACAGGAACCCGAAGACTACCACCCCAAGAGGCCGGCGTACAGAGGGCGAAAAAGGAACGTCACCATGGAGGAAACTCGAAGAAACCAAAAGCGGAGATTAACTTCCATGAACTCTGTAACTTGGGATCAATTTTGCCAGAAGAGGATGTCGGAGTTCCAAGCATCGAAAACTCAAAGATAAGTTAAAATCTTTTATAAATTTTCTTTTGTTCTGAAATGTTATGCGTAAATACGAAGTTCTATGTGTTGACGGAAGTCAATTTGTCTCGGTTGAGACTTAGTTTTGTTTTACTTTATTTAGCTAAGGCAAAAGCATTATTTTCTTTAAGTGTAAAATCTAAGAGCAAGCAGTTCGAGTTGGTCTAAAGACTGGTTCTGTTATGTTAAAGCCAAAATTTGGCCGAAAGTAAAATAACTTCGTATTCTTGTATTAATGTAAAATTTAGTTTCAGTGTCGCCAGCTTGTCGAAAAAGGCGTGAAGTAAATTTTTATTTTCTCTTATTCATCTTATGGTAAGTTGTAAAAATCATATATATTAGAATTTTGTAAATATAGGTAAATACTTGAAAGTTATGTAAAAGTAGAATTTAGTCTAGAAGCATAAAATTTTAGATGTTAAAAGTAAATGCTCAAAAGAAACGAGTTCAAATCTAAGTATTAAACAGCAGATAAAATCATGCTTTAGAGCGAAAGTCTGCATGTCTAAAAATGAATGAGGGGGAATTTAGAATGAATATGTTTTTTAGGGTTCTCCACATACACTTGAATTTAAGAATGTTAAACATAGCTCATCGAGTTTCAGTATGTTGGATTAAGGTGTGTCATATTTGGTCGTTTGAATTCTAACAAATCATTGTGGTTAGGGGAAGTGTTGTAATACAAAAACACGAAGATTCCCGTTTGACACCACACATAGTGGAGAACCAGGGTAAAGTTAAATTCATGTTTGAATATTTGAATGAATGTGAATGTAAGCAGTTAATTAAGGAAAAGAAAAGGATCGAAAACGAAAACTTTATCCAGTGTTAAGAAAGTGTAAATCATAATGTATTTAGAATATACTGATACTTATTCCTTCCAGATGCTGGAAGGAAGAGAAAAAGATTGATTGATGAAGACCAAATACCAGAAAGGATCCTTTAAGAAGATATGGTATTTTAATCATCTACAGAAACCATTGTAATTGTTTTAGACAAAAGTTTGTTTTATGTAAACGGAGCTCTTGAGTTTTAGGTCAGAATATGGAAACTTTACCACAGGTCGTTTCTAGGACCTGCTTCCAAGTTTACCAAATTCTGGCAGCGGCAAATGTAGGGTTTATATTTATTTTAACTAACATTTATTTTATGTTTAAGCTATCTTTCCTGTCAAGTCTTTACTTTCCCCTAGAATTGCCAGTGCCAGAGTATGTAAATTGTAGTAGAACGAGCAGTATATTCAAATTTTAGCAGAAGTAAGTTGAGTTTAATTAGAAGGGAAACGAGATTGTATGTGTGCTTCTCGAATCGCTAACGTGAAGGTTGCTAGGTAGAAATTTAAGAACCGCGCGTTTCGGCCTGTGTGCCTATCTCGGCAGTTCGTTGAATCTTTCAACTTCTTAATCAGTAAGCTTGCTGAATCTCAGCTGTATTTTAGAACGCGGTTAAGTTAGTTACGATTCCAGAGCCTCGTAGGTAGTGATCTAGTTATTTATTCATCCTGTCATTTATTTTTAGTTTCACATTTCTGTTTGTTAAACCGCCGGGTCGGCGTAGTTTGTGAGCGTCAAGTGAACGCAGCTGTTATTTCTAAAGTGGAATAAAAAGGGCTTTAAAACCCTACTTACGAGTTTGTGTAATTTACAGTTCATAGCAGTCACTACCATAGTTGCTGACAAGTTGGGGGCCACGCAACACTACAAGTTTTCCAACAGTGATTTAAAATAAAACAAAAGTGTTAAATATATGACGGAAAAAGTGACAGCATCTTATAAAGAAGCGACAGTTTTTCAGGAAGTATATTGTATTTAGTATACAAGATAACAGCTAATGAAATAAGTAATGGAATTTTCTTACATTTCGTACACATGCCCCTGTTCGACTCGCTCTTCAACGTCTGCTAAGCTGCGAACATGGAGGGGTGAATGTGGCAGGACTCCATGCATCCACGGCAGCCCGTACAGGGACAAGAAACCATTCACGACTCCTACTACGAACAGGTCTAAATGGTAGGCTGGACCTTTTTTCAGCCTATTTAAGAAAAAGACACGATTTTTACTTGCAGTTAATTAAAAACATGCATAAGAAGTTCCTATTAGAAATTAGTTAAATAAATGCTTTTACTTTTCAAATACTTTATTACAAAATGAGCAGTTTAATAAATGAAGAACGAAAGTTTTCCTTAGGTTCGGCCTACAAAAAAATCCCCACCATGCACATTATTTTATTACTTTATTTAATTCTCTGTAAAATAGTAAATCTCTCTCTCACACACATATACCGAAAATAAGGAGCTTAATTTTTGAATTTTTTAAAAAGTGGCCAGCTAATTTCTCGTTTAAGCTGATAGTAAATAGTATATTCCTATACGTTACTAGAGTAAAAGATAATCACATTTTGGATTACAGAGCTTTGACATCTGCGGACAAGCTCTCAGCCTTGAATGAGCCCTTGTAAATCTTATTGTTTCAAACATCATGATTATGTAATCTTCTCCATGACAATTTTGCAGAAATGTGAAGCTTGAGAATATATAAATTCGATGGAAGAGGTACTGAAAATTTATTCTCATTATCAGGTTCAGAAAGGTAAGCTTCTTTCACTTTTCAGTTAGAGAAGAGAAACAGATAGGATTTAAATTGAGAAAATAATGTTTTATATTTATTTGTTTTTATATTTATTTATATTCATTTTTTTTGCATTATACAAATATTTATTTGTTTTTTGAATTTCATCTTCCAGAATTTCTCGATCAAAATGGGATAGAGATGAGTAAAGATTGATATTGTACCCGAAGGATACGGAAAAATAAAACTTTTTTTCTTCGAAGCTTAGTTTTTGTTACATCTTTCCATAGATTTTACACACACTTTAAACATATATGATATTCTGGATTAGAAGAAACTTACGCGAAAAAAGGTTAAAAAATGAAAAATCAGGACTTTGCCACATAATGAACCGGAAGCTAAAGCAGTGAAACTGTAATTTTTAATTAATAAGTCTGTGAAATAACACGAGCAGAGTTTTAAAATCTAACGTTCTAGTCTTGAAGGAATACTCTCACAAACTGCTGATTCCTTATTACAGAATAAAACGCTTTATTTTAATTATTTTCAGGAGTCTGTAGAGACATTAGGTTATTTCGAAGCAGGAAAGAGGACAAATGAGCAATGCCCTCGCCGAGACTCTAACCACGGACCTCTCGAATACGCGTCAAGCGTGCTGACCACTACACCACGAAGGCATGCTAAGAAGGCGGGAGTACTCCAACTTGTTTGGTTATGTCGGTCGGGCTGTGCCCACTTCTGATACCGATACCTTATAAGTACTTATGTTAATTATGATTGCGAGGTAATATTAATTGTAGGGTTGAAATGCTTTGCTTGAGATTTATTGAAAGCTTAATGAAATTTTACTGAAGTAGCATTTTAGAGTACAAAAGATAAAACCAATATAACGCATTCGATACATTTCAGTGTAATGAGAAACTTACTTATTGCAAGGATTATTGACCATTGCAGCTGAAATATTCTGGTCCATGAAGAATAGCAACGAAAGGGCAAAACCCATGCCTAACGCTGCTATTGACGCTGTCCATGGAAGCTCCTCGACCGGGGCTCGAGTTAATGGATCGCTAACGTTATAACGAAACTGATCCGCTGGAAGGAAAGATGTATTTAAGAATGCAGTTCATTTGTTTAATTATCATTTTACATTTTTATACGTTTATAAAGTAGAATGTATCATATGTGATTCAACTGCTAACAGACTTTTGGGTGCGTTCAAACTGTAAAAAAATCTGCGTAGCTTATGATAGGGATATTAAGAATACAACAGAAAAATGTTTATAGGACTGTCACATTTTTTTTTTCAGATCTAGGGAATATATTCTTTGATATGTTTCAAAATTTCCCTGCAACATTTATTGCTTAGTTTTTCTTAATATTATATAGTAAGAAGAATTTGAAACATTATTGTACTTTTATTACGAAGGCTGAGTGAAAAGTTTGAGGCTGAGTTTTTTTTTTTTTTTTTTTTTTTTTTAAATCAGATGCTTCTGCAGGCCTGCACAAACTGGATTTAGTAGCATTCAATTAAATATTTTACAGCGTTTTATAGAAAATTAAAAAACATAAAATAGACCGTTTTGTGACCTCTTCTGTAGTACTGAGAAATGGCATTTATCACTTAGTCATCCGAAAAGAACCCACTCCAGTGTAATTGCCCTTTTAATGTTAAGAAAGTCAGGAAATCGCATGCCATTAAGTACAGGTTATATATAAAGTATTCTGCCTTGGAGCAAAATCACTCACTGTTTCTTTAGCAAATCCGATCTTTTCTTCTCCATAGCTGCACGCAAATGGTTTTAAAAACATCTGAAAGTTCTAAACACAGTTGTTCACAGTCTATTCACTGGCGTGCAGTGTTACACTCATAACCACATTGGATAATCTGCCAAACCGTGCATTTTCGTCCATCCGTGCATTATCGCTTTGAAATACCTCTATCATAGAACTACTGAAAGCGTAGCTAAATGTTGCATCGTCATATGTTTTTATAATATTTCAGGTATTTCAAAACGCAAAATTTTACAACTTCTCTGGCCTATAGCAATAAAGCTAACTTCTTCACTCGCCAGGACAAAATGTAAATGCACTAGATACTTGCCCTCGCTGTGGCCAACCACCAAAGGCTTGCGGTTGTCCAGTTGCAGGTACAAACACATCGCTGTTTTACCGTCACAAAACTCAGTACAAGATTGCCCTGCCACATGTGGTAAAGAGAAATAGAGACATTCTCAGATGTCATCAGTCAGCCTTGACACTTTAATACACAAAGAAATATTATTCTGATCCCAAATATGTCAGATGCTTGATGATGGATAGAGCTGGTTTCTTGCGTTGCTGTAGTTGCAGTCAAAATGTTGCGATAAATAAATCTGTTTCTGTAGTAACTGTGCAAACGGTTAAGCAGTATTCTTGTTACATTCAAGAGAGACATAATAGTTAAGGAATACAATTTGTGACTGGCATTCAAACACTTGGTAATTTCAGAAAAGTACAAAAAAAGCTATAACCAACTGAATTTAGCTGTAAAATCGATATGGGTAAATGACGAAGACTCATTTATTCGTCAATAAGTAAATACTTAATATTTTACTCTGAATTTCAGCTATTTTAGTTTCAGATATAAACCTTTATTTTTCATCATAACAAAAAGACCAATACTGTTTATTTAGATCTAAAAACTGTGTGCATTTTATCTTCCGTAATTTCAATATTGCACGAGATTAGTAGCAAATACTATACCTAAGCAAAGACCGAATGCTTTTTAAGCACGCTATTGTTAAGATTACAGCTTTACAGCTTCGTTAAGATATATTCCAAGCATGGCCAAACTGCGGCTTTCTGGCGCCTTAACTGTGGCTAGCATGTCACATACGGCCTTTTGGTCTCTAAATGTGTCTCACTGAAAACAAACAGTACTCTTATTTTAGATGCATAATTACATTTTGCAACAAATGTCTTGCAAAGACATTCATTTTTATCAATTGACAATGTAGTTTCTTAATTTACAATTTGTGTGTAATTATTTAGCCGATTTCTAATCGCTTCAATACTCCAACCGACAGAATACAGAATAAATGACAAATGATTCCATTTCTGCAAATTACTAGAACGTTCATTTTACTTTTAAAGCAGATACTCATAATTAGGATTAAATATTAAACAGGGGAAGAGTTTCAAGTTTTGCAAACGCATGTTGATATTTTATGATGAATTTATGGGGAATGAATTAAAACTTTTATTTGCGCTTCGCCAGCAGATCTGTTAAACAACATTCCCACGTACAGGCGTGCATTACAATTCAGAATATGTTTATCCTTAAGCAAGTCAGGCCTTTTTTGTGTATTGTTCTGCATAATTTTCGCAACCACTTACAGTAATATGCTGCAAACATTTTTTTTTACTGTGAGTATACGCCCATTTCTATGTCTCTTCTATTCGTGATTGTTCATATGTTATTCTAGGGACAATTTATCATTTACTTCACATAAGATTGTGTATGTCAAAATTTTGGGATGCGGAGAGGATGGTCGTCTTCACTAGATGGACAAAGATTTCAACTCTGGATTTAAAGCTTCTGATCCATGTTTCTATAAGAGCGATTATTCAAGACCATCTTTCAATCTTTCACCTTCATTATAAAATCTACGTTTCAATGATGTTGCATCAAACAGGGAAATACCAATCGCACACAAATGTTTCTATAAACTTTTGTCAGAATACGGTATACTGATGTTGATGAAATTGCTATAGCTTGGCTTGTGATATTTCCTCATATGCTGCTCGACAATCGTTTTCCTTTCCAATCCGCCCCACTGCCTAAACACAGCACACTTTATGCAATGCACTGTGAAATTATTTTAGAGTTTTGTCGTCTAAACTTTCAATTCTAAAATATGGTCTTCGATTTCCTACAGTTAAATTATCTCAGACGTTCACCATTTCAAAATGCTGCACTATACTGAACTCAAATGGGATTTTTGGTTCAAATTTCAACTGCAAATAATACAAAAGTATAAAACCTGTCTCGTCAGGTTGTATACTTTTGTATTATTTGTAAAGGTTACCAGGAATGTATACAGAACGTCTAATAAAGAATGAGAATCACATTTATCAAAACTGATTTAACGATTTGTGACGGAGTCATCAAATCTGGAATCCAACTTGCCCAATCTTAAGCATAGATCATACTTAATAGTTTCTTTGGTTGATTAACTGAAGGATTCCAGATTAATATTAACGGAATCGGCAGCCGATCCAGAACAATGATATATATAAATTTTTATATTAAATCTTGCATGATGTACCGAAAATGAGAAATTTGTACAGAAAATTATGGAACTCTTTGTATTTAGCTTGTCAAAGTATAACGAAAATTTTAAATTCGTGCTACGGCGATCGTATTATATTTGCTCTGACTTCCCATCAAATTGCATTAAATTGTTTTCATAAAATTTTGTATCTTAGTCCGAAAAACTTTGCATTTGACAGTACGAAGTTTCAATTTGTAACTGAAAATACAAATTTAAAGACAATATCTTAAGAGATAAGGGATAAAGCTACCATTTGGAAATAATATGCGAACATAATCTAATAGTAAATGAAAGCAATTATTGATGTTTTTGTTTACTTGAGTGAAAAAGCTAAAAGGAATTCAGGAGAATATTCATTTGAATCATATATTTTATTGAATGTTTGCTCTAGAGAAGGCAGAATATTTGCTAGCTGATGTTGATCCCTTGTGTGTAACCCTGGCAGTTGTGGTATGTCCTAGATGGCAGGTATATCATTGGTTCGTCATCACTATTCTAATGACAGTATTAATCCCATTGAAAATATGTCTAAACAACAATAATAAATAATACGAAAATTTTAAGAAGTTATAAAAGTGTTATTTTTAATAATACCACGTGAACTGTTGCGGTTTGTACTTTATAGTGTTACATTACAAAATTTAACCTTTGAAGAATGGTGGTTCATATAAGCATATTTAATCCTTCGGAAACAGTATATAATTTCAGATTTTATAACTTTCGAGTATATTGGTGGATACATTATTTTTAAGCTTCTGCTATGCAGCATTAAACCAGAAAATAAAGTATTAAACATAGATAAAGCATAATAAACAATTTGTTTAGTATTTTCTTTAAGTAACTTGTAAGGCGCAGAAATGAGGAAAGACTAAATATTCAGTGAGGTATACTTATTAATTGACGAACTCTAGGCACAAGTAAAGCTTTTTCTGGAAGCTTTTTATCCTGCTGTTAGTATGGAGCTCAAACAAATATTTTAATACCCTTAAAAATTTATTTAACATGTAGCAGTGGAAGAATATAGGGGTAAACTAATCGAAGTCTGCAAACGCTACGCACAAAATTATCCATTGCTATCATATTCAAAAGCGTAAGTAAATTGCATTTGATATTAGGTTTCTTTACTTTTTCGGGTTGTTAGATCCACTTAATACTGGAAATAAAAGTATACGTTTACATACTCGCCACATCCCTGAACACAAATGATCCTAGGAAGCTCATCGAGATAACTGCTACAGGCAAGGCGTAGTCGGCCAGAATCTCACGTTTGCTGGCCTGAAGGTATGGCCTGTAATGAAACGAAATAAGGTGTTATTTCTGAAATGACACTGCGGTTTACTACGATAATATTTCAAGAATTATTAAAACGTCATTTTTAAAATGATGTCATGCTAAAATGAGAAAAATGAGGTCATGATCTGTAGGTGAAAAACTTACGTTTTATTGAAATTATACAGGGATACGGCGAGCCAAACGGTGCCACACATGAGAAGCAGGAAAAGCAGGCTGTTCTCCCGCTTACAAGGGGCAGGCATGGAAACATCCCCTTGGGTTTCGTTGATGCTAGAATTGCTGAGCCAGAAAGGAAATTCCACTGTAGGACTACTATCTTCCGTGCAAGCGGCAGAGAAGTAATTATGATTAAAATCTGAAAAGAAATGTGCAGTATATATGAGTGTAAAAAAATTCAAAGCACTCATTAGACAGAAGACTTATAATACTTCTATAGTCTCTAAAATTGATTTAAGAAATACTGATGTTATATTTGAATATAATCAATGTTCTAATTGTTTTCACAACCTTATCTACCATTTTTTGCTTTTTTATTTCTACGCAATTTTGATAGGTTGCATCGCATTTTATTGGAAATTTATATTCCTTCTGATTTTTTCAGAATGACTTTCACTATTTAAAGAGATTTCTGACTTTCTATCATTTTCAATTTTAGGGGGAACTGACGTATCACTTAAATGCGAACTGATGCAGTAAAAGAGGACCCAGTGTACATAAAGTGTTCAAATATTTTCTATTCCATAAGTTGGATGACACATGTTTAACGTGCAACGTATTCGGGTTGAGACCATAACGAAACCATAACCTATGTCGGTTAACAAGGTGTTCAGTGGGCTCAGAGTTTTATGTGAAATAGGATATTGATGACACATTTGCAGCAATATTGATTGCACCATTGTTGTGAAATATGACCAAAAGGGAACAATGAGAGACTGTACAGAGGGTGTTTACACATTTTTAGAAGGATTTTGATATAGAGTTAAAAGAAAAAAGCAATTGTTTTGGAATAAATATTTTTTGAACAGCCTATTATTTCAAATGAGAAAAATCGTCTGCTACTTTTAGATTTATTCTTCATTTAAAATGTCGCGTACAAACAAGCTGTAGATTGAAGGATATGTGTTGCGCTTTCCAAAGATAAATGTTCTTATTCCATAACTCAAAAACGTTGCAAAATGCATGATATTAAAATTTCTAAGTGCAAACTAAACAGCATTAGAAAAATGAAAAACCTTCAATTATTACTTTTGCATGGAAAGATGAATCCAAACGAATGCACGAAAAAATACGTACTGTTTCTAATACATCTGTAACAACAATAAATAAAACAATAAACCAAGATTTATAACTGAAAAAAAGGAAAATGCATAACTTTCACAAGCTTTTGCGAGGCATGTGGCTCAATGCAGAACAAACTGTAGAACCCTGTATGAAAACTATTTAGTAGGAGATCAATGGAAATACGTTGTGACCCTTGATGAAGCATGGGTTTAAGTAAATGACTTCAGCAAACAAACAAACAAACAAAAAGCAAAAACAAACAACAACAAAAAGAGATCTATTTATTATCGAAAGCTAGTGTACAAACAAGAGAAAAACAAACTTCACACAAACTTCGTTCGTGTACAAACTTCGTTCCATCGACGCCAAGAAAAGTTTCAGTAAGGGGTTTATGATTGTCCCAGGACTCTCTTAAATGCAAAATTAAAAATAAGAAGAGTGTAAAGAAATGTTAAAATCAACTCAGCGTGCTATTAAGAGAAAGTTTTAGGACCGATATTTTCAGAGGAAATTCCATTTCTTTATCCAAATGGTTTCAAACATTGAAACTTCATCAAGATAAAGCAAAAAGTTAGGGTTCGAAAAGTATCACTACATTTCTTGAAAAACTGATATATGTGTATATGTGTGTATATGTGTATGCAATACTTGTATGAAGACTGATACAAGTATTGTATACACATACTTTCAGTATTCCTGCTAGCCTCAATAAGTATTCCTGCGAAGTCCCCTGATATTTCATCTACGGACTATTGTACATTACGTATCTTGATACTGCAGGACATTTTACAATAACCCTTCTGTCATAGAAATCACAATGCAAGGGGGTCTTTACTTTATTTTCCTAACAGTTATTTTTTGGGGGAACAAGCCTTTCCTTTACATTATAATTTTCTACCTATGTTTCCCTGCCAGGATGAGTTTTCAGTATTACGATTTATGCAAATAATGTACAATAGTATTTAATCTGAAGTCTGGGTTACTTCAGTCCGAGAGTGTGTTTTACCTTTCGGCCACATTGTTGCTATTAGTTAAGGCTTGCTATTATACGGCCGTACTTAATACGTGCGTGCTAGTATATGCCGGGTATCCCTTATTAAAAGCGAGTTTGAGTCTGTGCACTTTCGTCTGATTAAATTTATCTAGCATTAGTTTAGCCTCATATTTTCTATCTTGAGTTAAAGACCCATGTGGTGGCTTGTACGCCCACGAGGGGCCATTTGTACATCTCTTTTGAGTTGGAATAAAAGGGTATTTTAAATTTTCTCCGGAGTTGTTACTTACAATAACTCAGCGAATAGTCTGCCGTTCTTGAGTATTTTAGCTTTCACAGAACTCTATTTTAGCTAGAATATTACAGGACTAACAAAAGATTATGTTTTTTGTCACAAAGGAACAGAAAATGGTGTTGCGATTTGCTACAGTGGTTGAGGCTAGCCATCACGAAAGAACTTTTCATAATGGCTAAGTTATCCTACTAAAAAACTAACTCTGATTTTGCTACTGTTGTGAAGCTGAATTTGAATATTTTAAAGGGCAAGTTTCTCGCCTATGTCGTTCAACAGACGAACTGTTTTGCCTTTCAACTAGGATAGGCGACGCTGACTGCCGTACTGAAGGGCCCGGGTTCGAATTCCGGAGAAGGCATGGATATTTGTAAACGTATAGTGTCTGTGCGGCAAGGGATCACTCCAAACATGCGCCGAGATGAAAGTCCTTTCGAGAGGTTGATGGTAGAGGAAGAAGGTGGAAAACCCTAGTATAACAGTAACCCTACTATAACCCTAGTCCTCCCTGAGTGTACTCCATCAAAATTGGGGGTGGGGCGGAACTGAGCAAAGTCGTACTTTCACCTGTATGGTGTACAAGGCTCTTGCCAACTACAGGCTCAATCTTGCACTTCTTGCCACAATGACTATCGTAGGCTTATTCTGATGTTACTATCATAAAAGTGAGATAAGTCACAACAACGCGATTTTTTTGCAGCTTTAGTCAACTAAAAATGCTCCTTAAAGTGCAATAGTCGGGTGATGACGTAAAAGGGCTGTTTCTGCATTTCTGCATTCTTATGCAGTAGATTTCAACTGCTTTTTCATGCGCATAAAAATGGAATTATAATGTTTGACGTTGAGTCTGTACCTATTAAATATTTTTAACTCTTTGTAACAGTATACTTTTACATAACTTTCAGAAGTTTATGTTTGATGACTATACATTAAGTAATTCATTAATTAGTGTATCTTTACCAGTAAACTAAGCATTTATATCACTAAACTACGGCATGTTTTATTTTTTGTATTTTGAAATTGGCAGTACTCCCTTTATCTCTCCTGAGCTATTAACATATGCGCAACTGATCTTCGACATGAAAAATGATGCTATCTCGTGGAAACCACATAAAATTTGCAAATGTATAACAATAAAATACCTGCAGCGAAGTACTAAGGACTACAGAAAACAGATATTTTCAGTTTTTGGATCACTATAATTTTTGGTACTTTTCCGTTTCGCCGGCGCAAATCTCGCCAAGCAGACTTTATTGTCGACAACATACAGTAGCATACACATGAAAAATATTTAAAAAAAATGTTAGTTCTAAGAATTCTTTTAAAAAAAGAAGGCATAAACATTTTAATATCGCTTAAAATTTTATAAAAAGCCAATAAATAAAGACAATAAGTTTGCAAAAAGACATTAATTTAAGAATTTATTATGCTTTCATGGTTCAACATCCTGATTCGCCGGTTCATATCACGTGACCTAATGCTCTCAGTAATTATCTACATTAATTTCAAGTTAAATCTTAGTTTGGAACACAAGTTTAAATACAAGAAATATTTCAATTCGTACGAATAGCTTACTCAGAAATTATGTAAAACTGCAGTGCTTTACTTCGCTAATGCATTCTCATTAGAATGGATGAATATTTCTATATTTTCGGCTTAGGGTAAGCGCTGTGATTGCATCCTAATTGACTTAATTACCGAAAATGGCCTTAGACATAAAACTGAACTATCTGATAAAAATTCTATGTAATTATATGCCAGTATTGAAAGAAACAATCAATCTGATAAGAAAAAGCTGCGACTTGTTTTGAAAATGAGGCGTAAAAGGTTACCAGCGAGAATATTCCGTTTGGCATCGGTTTTACCATTATTGGCGACTTTATCGCTTGCGCCGGCAAAACGGAAAAGTACCTAATTTTTTTTTTTTTTTCTTTGTATGTTTTATGTTATTCAAAACAACAAGAAAATTCATCTAGTCTAAATATTTTCTAATTTACGGAATGAGAGTTTCCTTATATAATGCCAACATAAGAAGGCTAGATAGATTAAAAAAGAGAAAGAAATTAAAAAAGACATAGTGATATAAATTAAAAAACTGCTTCGGAATGATGAGACGACACAGGAACAATTTGAAGTATGTGCATACATACAAAAAAGCTGAAGCTAATAGGCGCCTGTTAGCTTCAGCTTTTTTCTATATATTTCTCAATTAATGACCTTAAATTGTGTAACAATTATAGAGTCGCGTAACATTTGATAACTTAATATTGTTACGAATATTGTATATAGATAGATGATTTGAGTGCAATTATATGCGAAATTGTTGTATTTTTTATTACGAGATATCGCCATCGCGACTAATTTGCGCCAAATATTGACTGCAGCCGTCTTATTTTGACCATCCACGTATTTAAAAGCTTTTGTGTGTTATGAATTAAAAGTCTATCACAATTCAGTTTGAAGAAAGGTTTCAAAAAGTGGATGTCCTCATGCGAATAAAATATGTACTAATTTGAGTAAATTATCTTCGTTTATGTTAATAAAATAATGAAGATAAAGATATAAAATATGTCGTAAGGATTTGGACTGTAGCTGCGCTCTAAGCATTTATAATTAGTGCGTTATCCAGATCCGGATGTTTCTTAGGAGTACTGAACGATGCCGATAAGTTACTTCGACTTTATCCTAATCACGACGTAACTCGTGGCTCTTTAGGATACATAAAATGTTTCAGCTTCACTAAAAAATATTACAAGTTAACTTACTTTTATACATATCTCTTCCTGCATCCACAATAAACGCTATGCTAATGAACAAAGAGAATATTTCCTCTGTTGACCTATTAAAAAAAAGAACAAAGTTGAATATTTGTATAATGGTATTCAAATGGTAGCAAGAAAAATTTGACAAAAAGTACACAATTGTATAAAATTTTAATTTTTAAAGTATTTCATGAATGAGATTTAAAAGTCATACCGAAAACTATAAATATTTAATATGAAAGCGTTTTGTTAAATATTCTTCAATTTTTAATTTTTAAAGATTCAAAACTTTATTAGTTTCATTCAGTTAAATTTAATTGCTACTAGTATCCCTTCCTTTTCATATGATATTCCTAACAAGAATTGTAAACGAAAATTTCATTACAAAAAAATCACAGCTAAGAATATTCTTAAAATATTCAATAGAGAATAATTTTACAATATCAAATTAAATGCCCCAAACAGACCTTTATTTAGAGCACTTACGTTTTGATAATATCCTTCATTTTTCTTACTGTCATAATTAGAAAGGTAATGAAGGTTTTAATGAAATATATTTTATACATTGATCATGAAAAGTCAAATAAAATGTCAGTAACTTACTGAAAAATTCATACTAAAATCTACTTCTACTGTGTTATGATTCGATGAAAAATTTAGTATTTCGTGCAAATTAACGATAGATTCTTGTCTCGGTGTCGTTTTTTTTAAAGTTTAGACAAAATTGCAAAGCATATTAACACGAGTAACTTTACCGGAACTCAACAGCATTACAATTTACTATAATATCACGCTAATTCTGTAAAAATAGTTTTCAATTTTCGAGAATGCTAAGTTTGTTAATGAGTCTTCATCTCCTTGTTTTAGTGTTCAATGTTGTAACTTTCTCTTTACACTGAAGTTAAGTATTATAAGTTTTGAAATATGACATTTCTTCCAAATTCCAACTTTCGTTGACAATATCCAGGAGAAGTCGTTTGCCTTATTCGTTGAGGTGGTGGACGATCGGATGGATGGAAATGGAGATGTCACAATCTGTTGATGCTTGACATCTCAAAGTCTCTCGTAGTGTGGCTCAGCGACTGTAGAATCAGGTTGAGTCCGAGGATTCTGTGTCTAGAAGACATGCTCCAAGCAAACCAAGAATTATAACACTTGTGGGAAACTGTTATTTAGCTCTTTCGGCCCAAAGCAGGAGCAACATTACTGTGCTTCATCTCATGGCAGATCATTTGTTGGTAACAGGGACAAAAATCTCAGCTACTACAGTGCGTAGACGCCTGAAAAATACAAGTCAGTATGCAAGACGACCAGTTGTTTGTGTCCTCGAGGACATAGAATTGCCCGTTTATGTTTGGCAAGAGAACACGTCTCCTGGACCAGTCAAGAATGGGCGTTTGATTTCTTCACAGACGAGTACAGGTTCACATTGGAGAGTGATTCAGGTCGTCAGCTGATCTGGAGGAAACAACGTACCCGATACAACCAATCCCACATTGTGGAAAGACACAGTTACAGAGATGGTGGAATAATAGTTTGGGCTGGGATCTCTCTCGATGGTCACACTGATCCGCATGTGTTCCAGGGAGGAACTTTGACTGGCGTGAGATATCGAGACAAGATCCTTGATCAACATGCCCGCCCATATGCCACTGCTATTGGTCTTGGAGGATTTCTTCTGATGAACGACAATGCGCAACCGCACCGAGTCGAGTTGCTGAAGAATATCTTGAAGATCACAGTATAGAGCGGAATGAATGGCCAGCTCAATCCCCAAACCTGAATCCAAAAGAGCATCTGTGGGACTACCTTGGGAGAAAGGTTGGTGCTTTAAGTCCTCTTCCAAGGTTATTAGATGAGCTTGAACAAGGATTACTCCATGTCTGGTTTTTGCTTCCCATTTCATTGATCGACAACTTAATTGTCAGCATGGAACGTCCCTGCCGCCAATATAGTTCAGCTAGGAATGGGCACATTCCTTATTAGAACCCATTTTTGTAATGTTACCACTCCATTTTTCCTCAAAAAAAGCAGTGATATACTGTTTCTCCAATACTGCTTTCTCTGTCAAGAGTGCAATTGTTGTTGTAAATCATGTTTGTGTTGAATTTTAGAAACATTCTATATTGCAGTCAAAATCGTAAAAGCCCTCGTTTAGCTGCCCTCGAAATCGATTGATTGTTTCATTATACTTACGCTAAATACAAGGTTGTTTTTACGATTTTGATTGTCACATTAGCGTGTTTCTCTTCTAGTCTATTCTATATTGCATTTATTAAAGAACTGTTTAATGAACATGGCCTCATAATTTTTTGTTTCTATGTTGCTTCATTCTCAGATTAGACACAAAAGCATGCTGTTCCTTAACTTTTGAAGGGCAATGTATATGAGCATTGTGTTGCAAAGAATTAAAAAAAAAAAAAAAAAAAAAAAATCCTACCGATGTTATTTGAACAAAGTTTGAATTCAACGACATTTTTAATGTTCTTTTGTACATATTGTTCTTTGATGACTTTGTTTATTCGTTTCTATTTTTGATATTTATTCTGCGGTTATTTGCAACATGTTCTTATTTTGAGTACTAATTTAATTTACGTCCGCAAATAAATTTATTCTACACATAAAACAATTTTAAAATGAAGAAATGCGCTAACAGTAATTTTGTTTTAATTATAATATAGGTTATTCTTTTCCCTGAGTTTTTTGAACTGTACTTGGATTAAATGTGATTTTTTTTTTTTTTTTTTTTTTTTTTTTTGTTAACCGTGGACAGCGTTCTCGGTATTATTCTAGTTAATCGGGATTCGGCCGCATTTGGTAAAAAATATGGACACTTAGTTTCAAAATCGAAACTTAGTTTTTTTCAAAAGCCAAAAGAAATATTCCATCTTCTTTGAAAATTTTATAATTGCATTAAAATTTTTAGAGTCTATACATTTTATCAAACTATAGAATATTTCATATTAATATAGAGATTTGAAACCTCACACTCCAGTAATTTGTGCAAGGCATTTTAGTTAAAAAATGTACAAAAATGAAGGTACTTGCATTTTAATTGGCGTAAAATGTTATAAATTATAATTAAAAAGTACTGTCTATTATCCATAAGACACAAAATGTAAAATGATCAAATTAGTGAATCAATTGGAGAAGACCATTTGCTAAGCATTTATTGCATTGAATCTTGATAATCTGAACCGCTGATTAAATTAATCACATCTCAGCGGCGGGCAGCAAGAATGAGTTCACTGGATTTAATTATACCGTGATCTGTATTTGACGAAAAATTTCGTCAGTTAATGGTATTGAATTTCATGACGGAAGAATCGTCATATTTCTTCACCTCTCAGGACAGCAGATGAGTGGCTAATCTGTAATTTGCCTGTGGTTCTGCTGACCAGTTTAAGCGGATTGGCTGTGAGAGGTTTTAGTAGTTTTCCTCTTATGTAAGGCATGTACGGGATATTCCTTTAGAGTTCATTATGAAGGTACTTCTTTCCAGGTGTATATGATCCTAGTGTGTTTTGCCTTAAGAAAGCAATACAGTCCAATCGATAGATGTCAAAAGGTTACATATTTCTTTGAAATGATAACAGTCAAACTTAGTAGAAACTATCAACAGTTAGTTTTAAAGATAATTCGTACTTTTAAATAGTAGTGAGGACAATTTATAAGTTTCAGACCAATTATTCTACATTGAGTAGCCTGTCCTTATATATGGAAGACTACATCCACTAAATTTTAAAAGCAACCAATGAATTATAAAGAAGCTTTTGTAAACATATATTCATTAAATAACTACAAGCTATATTTCGTGATGACCAAAACTGCTAATTTATTCCGGCGGGAAAAAATTACTGAGCAGGAGAAACATAAGAAATAGTTTTAATTGTTCTTGCAATAATATTTTTATCGTCATCTGTTAGATTCACTTTAAATATGTTTTGGAAAAGTATTAATATGTTTAATATGCTCAGTTTGAGGTTCAATTCCATAAGAAGTGTTCATATATTTATCACGACATTACTGTGTTCCTTACGATGTTAAAATCGATGAAAATAATGTTAAACTCTTCTCTGATTTCCAACGAAAAGGTTCATGTAGTTGCTAAGAAATGTGTTTAGAATTACTAACTGGAATAAAGCAAGATTAATAAAATAATTAAAGCAATTTTCTAACCTTTATTTCCTCACGGTTTGACACTTCACGTTTTCTACGAATTGCTAATCGAATGGAAATTCTGTCAGTAAACTTTGGCTTATTATATATTGACGAAATTTTAAGGCTATGCCCGATTTTTAAAATTAAGATGAAAAAAAGTAAAAAATAATCTTCTTAATGTATTGATTCTGTTTTATTTCAATTAGTAATATGAGTCTAATTTGAGTGGAAAGCATATTAAAAAAGTCGGTAACACAAAAACAAGTACTGATTTAGCCCAAAACGAATAACTTTACAACAATTATAATACAGCCGTGGAGAATCTAATACCCTCTTAACTTGTAAAATATTTATTTTGAATAATCTGCTAATTTTATTGCCGTATTAAAATTTTATTCACAATAAGTTTAACGCAAAATTAAAGAAATAGATATATAAAGCTCAGTAGATGAAGACGAGGAAATTATAAAAATCAAATACTTTTATAATAAAGCAAGGCATCGATTTCAAATTTTCCTTTGAGGTTTCCGTTGAAAGAAATAATGTTGAATGATTTATAATTTTAAGAGTTACGAAAACTAAAATGTAGACTCGTTTTATTTGAATTGTCGGTGTTTATTTATCTAAACTCTCATGTTATAGCTTGCATCTTTATTCGATAGATGGCGCCAGAGTGTCTTTCGTGGTTCTACGTTGAGTGAACATACGAGAGTCTTCGCCTTAGCTAGCTAGCCCTTGCGCTTCGCCTTAATCATTTAACCAATCAGATTTTCCTTTCCTCTGCCTCAGTATTGTACTGCTGTAAAAATGCAGCTAATAGTTTTCTCCAGATCAAGCATTTGTATTGGTTTAGCTTACACTAAGATACTTCTAATTTCAATCGATCATTGTTAATGCACATTTCAATAAAACGACC